TGGCCTTCTTGATTCGGGTTGGCTTTCTAAAAAATTGAAGAGGAGGAGGAGAGGGAGCTCCTGGAAAAGTTGTGCAGCCAGCAGTCGCCAGAGAGAGGGGGGGAGGGAGGGAGAGAGAGGGAGAGGGAGAGGGAGAGGGAGAGAGAGTAGTAAGGAGGGAGGTGAACTGGTCGGTTAATGCAAACAGCCGCGGCGGCAGTCCGGCGTCCCCTGGAAAGCAGGACCGCTCTGAATCCTGCCCACGCCGCGAGGGGAGGGGAGGGGGGGATTGGTGGTGGGGGTGTCGAAGAGCAACAGCCGCGGGAGGAGAAGGAAGGGAAGCCGGCAGAAACCACCTTGAAGGCGTCCAGCTGTCCCAGGCGCGTCTCGGGATCTGTCCTGGCGCCGGCACGCGCGTATACACACACACACGCACGCACGCACGCACGGACACACAAGCATCTCTACACACGTGGGCGCTTTTCGCCTCCGCTCGCGGCTGGACACCAACCCCCTGGGCAAAAAAAGGGGGGGGGACCGACGCACTGATTCCCAGAAGGGGGGCACCCCCCCCCCCACCCCGGACCTCCTTTCCTCCGCCTGCCAGTCGGTGCCATCTCAAGTTGGAGCGTGGGAGCTTGTGGGCAGCAGGGCGCCGAGTCTCCGGAGCCCTCGCTTTAAGTGGCGGCCAGTTTCCCTGCTTTTCTTCCCTCCTCCGCGCACTTCTTCAACTCTTTAAGATTTTTCTTTTTGTATGTACCAGACGTGATTTCCCCCTCCTCCCCTCAACGTTTTTGGGATTTTATTATCTCTTTTCTCTGTTTGGTAGCCGGGAAGAAAAAAAGCAACACAGTTTCTTGTTTTTAAGCAACATTTGCAACCTGTTACGTTTCTTTTATTATTATTATTATCATTATCATTCTTATTAGGCGCTATCTATTGCAGGTTATTATTATTTTTGTTTTAATAGAAAGCAATTGCTGGCTTGAACCCGCCACCTTTGCTGGAGCATCTCATCTGCTCGCAAACTCACTCTTGGACTTGCAACCAATTCAAGCAGTTTGGCGGACCGGCCACTTGGCATATCCTATCCGGACTCGCGATCTGTTGCATTTATTCTTTCGATCCTTCGGTGTTTTTTTTAAATTTGTTTTTTGTTTTAAAGAAGACCTGAACCTTGTTTGCACATCTTAAACTGCCGCGGAGAAAATTCCAGGAAACATTTTGGTCCTTTCTTTGTGGGAGAAGCCGAACGAAAAGAAGCGTGTTTTGGATTTTATTTTATTTTTCACTTTTAAACCTTTTTTTTTTCCCCTTCCCAAAAATGCACTGCTATCTCCTGAGCGTGTTCGTCACCCTGGATCTGGCCACGGTGGCCTTTGCCCTCTCTACGTGCAGCACCCTAGACACTGACCAGTTCATGCGTAAGCGGATCGAAGCGATCCGAGGCCAAATCCTGAGCAAACTGAAACTCACCAGCCCCCCGGAAGAGTACCCCGAGCCCGAGGAGGTTCCTCCGGAGGTCATCTCAATCTACAACAGCACAAGGGACTTGCTGCAGGAGAAAGCGAACCACAGAGCAGCCTCTTGTGAAAAGGAAAGGAGCGATGAGGAATATTACGCCAAAGAGGTTTACAAAATTGACATGGGGAGTTACCACCCTTCGGCAAGTAAGTCTGCTCTGAATAATTGTGTGTGCCTGTGCCAGGTGGAGCTTTGTTGCCGCGGGATTGCATAATGGGCTTGATGGGGTGCGAGGAGGAGTGGAGAGGTGCCTCTGGTTACCTTGAAGACCTCTCAGGTGGGGTGAGAGGTCCCACAGAAATGGCAAGGGGGCAAGTCCAGAGCGTGATCCAGCGGTGTTGACATTCCAGACCCCTCCCCCACATCTTATAAATGTAACAAGGGCTTTCCTCTGCAAAAAGGGAGGATGTTGACCGAGCCACCTACCCGTTTTATTTCTGTAATACTTGAACAGCACAGCACAGCTCTAGCAACGTGAGTCCTCAGCTTGAAAACCCAAGGAAGTGAGCTAAAGTTTGATCAGCGAGGTTTAATGGATAATCAGACTCTATTTGGAGCTGAACCCTGGGAATGTTTTGACTGCTGAGAGGTGTAAACCTGGGACACATAAAGTCAGAAGAGATGCGTGTGGCTCTGAACATCTTTTGCCCTTCTCTGTGAACTAAACCCTGCACAGGCAAACCTATAGGCACTTGCAAAGGTTTCTTTTTAGCAGAGAACCCAAATGCAAATTGGGCTTTCCCTCTCAAGAACATCCCCATAAAGCTTTTGGTAAAGAGTACATAACATCCCACCCCACCCCAATTTGGCTGGCTGGTGTCTTTGAGGAGCAAGTATATCTGTAAGACTCCTTTGTCTGGTTCTCTCCTGTCATTCTTCCTTGTGTCATATATCCTCATATTCTTTTAGTTGGGAATTCCATCTCCCTAGTGCTTTCTCCTTAGATACTCTCCACCTCAGCGCTTCATCTGCTGCAAGTCCCTGATCTTTCTCAGAGAACACCTGGGTCAACAAACCTCACAAATGGGATTAGTTTACTTGTTACCCTCTGTCGTCCCCCCCCCCACCTATCTCATATTCCCATCCTGTGGTCTCCTCTTCTCTAGCCACTGCTGGATGATGTTGGAATTGGGCAAGTGGGGAGAACGGAGAAAAACAAGAATCATCTCTAACACTAAAGCTCAAGATTTTCTTTCCTACCCAAACATTATCTAAACCTGGAAGTTCTACTTGAGGTTTCTCTTTTCAATTTAATAGTCCATCATATTTGTGGTCATCTTCTCTCCAGGTACAAAATAAATCTCCCTCCAACCTTTTTTTAAGGCCAGCTTTCCGGACACAGCCTAGGAATGTGTCAGCTGGAAGTGATTAGATGGACTTTCTTCTGAAGATCAGGGCGAGCTTGAAGAAGTTGGCTTCATACAAATCTAAAGGCTGAGCATTAAGGGCTGGCAGTGGCAGACTTGAATTCAAATTGCAGCTCTAGTTTGGACTTGCTGTTGGGCTGTGGCCAAAAAGGTCTAGTCAATTAGAGTGCTTATATACCCCAAAAGGCGAGATATAAATATAAAAGTAACAATGCTCTGCATTGTAAGCACAAGCAACTCCAGCCCAGTGGAGTTATCTTCACATAAGGGTGCACAACATTGCAGGGTTATACTGCTATCCTATATATATATATGTCTGTTCAGAAGCAAATTGCATTAAGTTCAGTGGGTTTTACTCCTAAGGTAATTTTAGATAGTGTTGTAGCTTTAGCTCTCTGAAATAGTGGACTTTTTTGCTCTGTAGAAAATCAGATTATGAAATCTGTGGAAGTCTAATAACTGATTATTATGGTCTGAAGCAGAATTGGAGCAATTCAGAACAATGTTTCTCAACTTTGGCACCGTTAAGATGGGTGGACTTTAAGATGGGTGGACTTCAACTCCCAGTATTCCCCAGTCAGCACATGCTGGCTAGGGAATTCTGGGAGTTGAAGTCCACCCTTCTTAAAAGTTGCCAAAGTTGAAAAATACTGCCTTTAGAACAATAGCCAAATGTAGGACACAGTGACAGATTTTCTAGGAGGAAGAAAAGGATCGGATCTCAAAGTGTTCACTGAAGTGCTCACTGATTAACTTTTTGCTTCTGCTTCTGTTATATGGCGCCTATATACTGATACCTGATCATCTCTGAGAAGTAGGTAATGGAGAAGGCATTGCAGTCGTCTGGGTAAATCTCCATACTAGATTTTCTATCTCAATATTCTATTTCTTTTGGCTGTTACAGAGGTGTAGCTTTGAGGCTTGCTGGGGCACGCCAACGAGAGTCAGGGAGCAAGAGTGCCAGCCAGCAATTTCTGCACCCACTTCTCAGTGAGCTGCCTCCTCCTCCTCTTCTTTTTTTCCCTTTTTTTTTTTATTGTCAAATGACAATCCAAGGAAGAGGACACCCTGGGAATCAAAGGGCTTTATTATTGTAATTAAGGCACCATCCAGAAGTCTATGATAAACACACTCCACCCTTGCTGCCCTGAGGGGGAAAAAAAAACATTTTGCAGAATGTGCTGGAGCCAAGGAGGGATGTGCAAGCTCTCTGGTATAATTTGTGGCAATAATGCTGAAATGCAGAAGAGCACTCAAGACATTAGAATGCACACGTACATATGCACGTGTACACACATCCACACATGCAATTGCCTGCCCCCCTTCCTGTGTCTTAACATGCAAAAACTCATTTCTTTGGAGACTGTTTACCATCTTAAATGCAGAGAGAAAAGGTTAAAGCCCTCACGTTTCTGAGGTGGCTGAGCCATAGAAAGAGGTGGGGTTATCCAGAGTGAACGATTTACAGCTATGCATTCTTTTTTCTTTTTTTTTTCTGGAAAGTTTAACTATCCGTGGAAAATGAAGGCTTATCTTAGCATGAATGCAAAAGTTGCCCTGACGCTTTTGGATCCCTTTGCCTGGACTTGAAATAGAACAGCAGAAAAAGGACAAGTGGAGGTTGCAGGCCTTGGCCAATAGGGAGCATCAGATGTTCAAGAGCCCACAGTTTGCTTGCTTGCTTACTGCAGCCGGGCTTCCTGTGCAAATACTTGGTTGAGAAGATCAGAGTAAAAGAGTTAACCATTTTTCCACTGCTCTCTAGTTATTCGTTAGGCTGGGTGAGCCGTTCTAAAGGGGAAAAGGCATACACAACCTAGAAGAAACGGCTACAATATAAATGAGAAAACACAAGGCTGGGCTGCTCTGCACCATTTCCCTTCAGCCTTAAAAGGTTTAAGTCTCTACTACCAGTCAAGCAGACAATGTGATGGTGGTGGGAGGGGAGAAGATCTCCACAAACACACTGAGGTCATAGAGTAAAAGGCCTGGGAAAGAGTAATCATTCAGGGTTTTTTTTTTAAAGAAACTTTTTTTTAAAAAAAACCACAGAGACATTAGCATTTGGTAACAGACTATAGCTCAAATATTACAAATATGCTCTAATTATACTCATAGTTGGCTATATATATCACTCCGCAGATCCCTGATAGGTCTTTGAGGGACATTTTATAAAGTTCAGTGTAAATATTTTTAGCAATGAAGAGATTTAAAAGGAAAACTCAGATATATTGTATATATCTCAAGGCATATTTTGTCTTCAAAATTATCTTTGGCCAACTGTACTATATAAATACAGTAAATATGAATAGCCATGGCATAGTGCCAATCTCCTGGGATGAATTTTAGTCAGGAGGTATTTATGGGATATGCATAATACTGTGTCAACATTTAAAGAAGGAACCTGATTAGCTCAGAATGTATTCACATTAAACTTTTCATGTGCTGCTGGGTTAAGACTTGAAGTGGAATTGTGCTAAAAATTTTGCCAGTTCATTTGCACATGGGGAATAAAAGGGCCTTTGGCTTCTCGTGGATGGGCTTGAAGGAGCTGTAAGAGATATTAGGATTGGTTTCTTAATGTGTCCCCAAAACCATTGAACTGGATTTTCTGCGAAATACACAAAGACATGCCAGTCTGATTCATTTCTTTAACCTAGCTCCTGTATGAGAATACCCAGTGAAGTCTCTGAATAGATAGATGTCTATTAATTTAGAATAAATAAATATATATTTCTGAATCATCAGTTTGTATTAGCCTTCTGTCTCTACTTCTTACCCTGCTAGAAAATCCTCTTTTGATTGCAATGGATCTGACTTACATCTAAAGCAGGCGTGTCAAACTTGTGTTGTCATAGCATCATCACATGTCACACCACGACTTTTTCCCCCTTTGCTAAAATGGGTGTGGCCAGTGCATGACACATCTGGTGCGCAGGTTGCGAGTTTGACACCCCTGATCTAAAGGCTGTACATAAAATATTTATTACAACACTTTATCGGTTATTTTCTTTTGTGCATTTCATAGGAGCATGCCATAACAATGAACATTTAAAATAAAAGACAGCTGATAATGCTGCTAAACATTTATCTGTCTGTCTTGTGCCAATTGCATTCAAATGATTTCAGAGTAAAGCACCTTTCTTAAATCAGTTATTCATTCTTAATATAAAAATACAACCAGCTACAAACTGGTATGAATATAACATCTCCCTCCCTATATATATATATATCATACTTTTTAACAGGTTGATCCTATTAAACTTAGTGGAACCTCCACTCATATTAATGCACGCGTAGTTGAGCAAAAGCAGACTTCCCAAACCCAATACTTTTTTGGGATGTGCTGGGATTACAACTCCTGCTTGGGAAACAGGCTGGGTGGGGGCTGGTAAAGGCTGGGCAAGAGCGTGCTCTTCATTTTGGCGTAATCCAGTTGAGCTGCTTCACATCATCAACTACATTTTCTGCTATGCATACACAGACATTAGTCACTCCTACAGCTTTTCAAGTTTGCATATAAAGCTAAGCATAATGTCCACAGAATAACTGTGCTTGAAAAGAAAACCTGACGCTGGAGCATTTTGGATATTCTTACATATCTTTTTAGTTCAGTGTTGATTTATAAGTTGCACAAGGTTCCAAGTGTAGTACCGGGTTTGAGCACATCAAGCAGAAATCATTCATTAAGAGAAGCAGAATCAGTGGCCTTCTAGGTGTTGCTGAACTGCAATATTCCTCACCATATGGGAGATGCAGGTAGTCCTCAACTTACAACA